TCAACCAAGTCGAACACAATCCCTTAGGCCATACGTCTATAATAATATAAACATAAATTATAAATAAAAAAGTGTAAATATTATATTATAAAAATGAATATAGTATCAAAAGTTATAAATTGTAAATCTATTTTATCCGATTTTTACTGAGTTTATATAATAAATTTTATTTACTTTATGTAATAAACTTTATATAATCAAAATTCATTCTACATATAAATTGATAGTATATATAAATCAATTGTATTATATATGTAATTAATATTTCTTATTGTATTTTTACATTTCAATTTACCATTCATTAATTCTTTATATATATACAATTCTTTATATATATATTAATAGGTACATTATTCATGAATATTAATGTATTTATTAATTTATTATTGGATTTTAATATGTACAATGTCTAGTATAAATATATATATTATATCAATCTCTCAAAACAAATAATTGAGGAATTAGTTTATGAAAGGATTTTTATATTAAGAAACAGATTGAATTTTTACCTGTGGTGCAACTTTGTCATTTCTTATTATCATGTCCATAAATCTTTGTCGTACAACAGCAGTTTTATCCTTTTTGCCTATATCATTTGTTGTATTTAATTTAACTGTTTTCAATTTTATAGTGCTGTTATAAAACTTTCTAGCAATAGGGGGTAAGTTTTGTTTTCTTGTTATTCTTAAAAGATTAGGTCTTCTTTTTCTTGTATTTTGTTCACGTTCTTTCATTATTTCTTTTAATACTTCTTGGTTTGCAGTCTCTTGTGTTTGTAATTGTTCTTTTATCATTTCTATATCCTGTCTAATAAATTGAATGCTTTGATCATGTTGAATTAATCTTTCATGATCTGTCATATTTTCTACTTGTGTAGTTGCTTGCTCCTGATGATGATTTTCTTCTGGATGTATGTCTATTTCCTGTTGGAATATTTCTGTTTCTTGCTGGAATGTTTCTATTTGATCCTCACATATATTAATTGACGGAATAGCTGTGTCTATTTCCTGTTGGAATATTTCTGTTTCTTGCTGGAATGTTTCTATTTGATCCTCACATATATTAATTAACGGAATAGCTGTGTCGACTAAACGTCTCCTATTTATGGAACAACTGTAGTCACTATCTTTAAAATGTTCGTGACACACGCGTAATTTATTAATAATGTCTTCATTTTGTTCTGTTAATCTTAAACGTTGTAACCAGTCCATGCGACGACTTGCTTTTTTTGGAAACTGATGCGATAGCACTTTTCCGGTGGACTTGCATCCAGAGACGCAACAAGCTCGCATTTTTGTTCACTGCTGTTCACTGTACCCAAAAACTGCACGAAAACTTTTACACAAACGCAAAACCACGTGCACTTGCAATGTGTTGCAATGTGTAAGAATAAATTGCAAATGGCGGACATTTTAGTTCACCGATCTTCCCTGTGGTAAGATAGACGGCGCTGCAAACACAATCAACGAAAGGTCCATAAGAGTGATTTAGCCCTGTTGTGAAGGTGTTGAACCGCGAGAGGAACAAAACCCTTGCTGCCTGAGCGTGGAAACGCTATACGCCACAATACTCTCCACTATCCAACGAACCCCAAAAACCGGGCATAAAAAAATCCAGCAGCGCCTGCGGGTTCGCACGCAGGATGAGCAGTTCAGTCGTGACCGGTGCAACCACCCCTTTGCACACCCGGAGAGGCGAACAGGACACGCCCACCTGGCGTTGATGGACGCGCCCAACCGCCGCCCCCTGCACCCTAGCCACGGCCCACGGGGGACCATGGGGAGGCCTGCTCATTACGTGTCCCGTACCTGGACACGCGCTCTGACTCTGTTGGGAAGGAACATAAGGATGACATGAAGTTGGGTGGGAGGGACATGACAAACATTAAGGTTGGAATATTAAGGTTGGAAAACCTACCTAACAGAAAGCTAATTCCTATACCTAACCATTCGGTAACGCAGTTGACTCAAGATGTTTACGAGGCTGCGCTCCCACGCCCGAGGGCTCCGACGCACCCCGAATGAATGACCCAGAATCTATTTACAATTCGCGCGCTGCGCTTATTACTTTTTCCCGCCTACCTATTGTTTAGATTGCTTGATCCACAACGACTCTCTGCAGAAATTGCTGAACAGAAAAAAGGCCTCTGAAGTCTCTACCAAGAAAGGTGCCACCTCCGGCCATCTCCAACTGTCAGCTCGTATCATATCGCGCAGAGCGACTCTCTGCGCCTCGAATCTTTTGCACTCCAGAAGCAAGTGCGGTACAGTGTCTTCACCGCCGCCATAATCACAGGCACCGCTGTCGACGAGTCCGAGCGACGCTAGGCGTGCTCGGAAATCGCCATGACCCGTAAGCACCTGCGCGCTCCAACGGTCAGGTTGAATCCACCGCGCGCCCATCCTCCCAGAAATGTCCCTGAAAAACGAATGTGGTACGGCTTTTTGTTGAAGAGCTCCACCTGGCCTGCCACATCCTCCTACCCTCTGCCTTAATGCGTTTCACCGCATCCTTATCTGTTGCTGCGACTACAGTTTCTACTATCTCGGCGTCCCTAACTCTTCTAATTTCATATCTAGCCCTGCTTTCCTGGAAGAGGATTTCGACAGGGGTTGCACCGGCAACAACGCACAATGATTCCCGCGACGACGTTCTATACGCGCCTACCACCGGTATAAGCACCTTGCGCTGTATACTTTGTAATTTTCTGATATCGCGCTCCGTACAGAGATCTGCCCATCCCGCTGCGGCATACGCCACAGTCGGGGCGAACACTCCCCTGTAAATAGTCGAGAGCGCCCTATACTTCAGACCCCATGTTGATCTAGCTAGCTTACCCAATCTCGCGAATTGTGATTCTACTTTACTTTTTAAACACTCACAATGAGACTCTTCTTTCATATTTTTGTCAAAATGGACACCGAGATATCTAACGGAATTCTTGAATTTAATACTTTTGTCTCCTATCTTTATTGTTGGGGTACTTCCTGCTAAGTCTACTTTTTTTGTATTCGTTTTCCGCTTCCTATCCGGGCGGTCTCCTCCCCTTCTACCAATCGGTGCTCTACATATATCTTCACTTTTCAAAACTATTGCTTCTGTTTTCTTTTCGGAGATTTCTAACTTCGCGGACTTGCATCAATTTACAATTCTATTAACGATTCTTTGACCCTTCAGTTCTAACTCCCTCCGCGAATTTTCTCTTATTACCGTTATCAAGACGTCCGCGTAAGCTGCATATTGTCCTGAAGCTATTTCCTCTAATTCTTTTAGTAACTCGTCAAACATAATGTTCCAGCAGGTGGGACCGAGAACAGAACTCTGCGGGCACCCTCTCCTTGCCTGCTTGGATACTTTCCCGTGCCCTAATTCTATCTGCACCCTTCGATCGCTGAAGTAGCTCCGGAGCACTCCGAAAACGTTCTTGAGGCAGTTCCTATCTTTGAAGCTATCTAATACCAGGGGCCATCAGACATTGTCGAAAGCACCCGAAATATCAAAGAGCAGAGCGACGGCATACCTCTCTTCAGAGACAGAGACCATCCTCCGCAACTCCACGATAGTATCTTCCGTCGACTTTCCGGACGTGAACCCGACTGCCGGTCGGAGACCTTATCAGGCGCCATCAGGTATCTTCTAGGCGAAGCTTAATGAGCTTTTCAAAAAGTTTTCTTACCACAGAGAGGAGACATATGGGCCTATAGAATTTCGGGTCCTTCTCGTCTCTGTCCTCGCTCTTCAGAAGAACTCGTAATGAGCCCTCCTTCCAAGTTGGAGGGGAAGGGAGTTCGCCGATCGACGCGCGATGGTTTCACTGAGAGCGTATTTCAATCCCGGTTGGACTCACAAATAACATAAACGGTGTGGATGTTCTACATGTGAAATTGCACGTCGCTGAGTTTTCAACGAGAGCTTTTGCACCTTGCGAACTTTTGCATCAGCGATCGAAGGGTGCAGATAGAATTAGGGCACGGAAAAGTTTCCAAGTAGGCAACGAGGAAGTGCCCGCAGAGCTCCGTTTTCGGTCCCACCTGCTAGAACGTTATGTTCGACGGGTTACTAAAAGAATTAGAGGAAATAGCTCCGGGACAATATGCAGCTTACACAGACGACTTGATAACGGTAATAAAAGGAAATTCGCGGAGGGAGTTAGAACTGAAGGGTCAAAGAATCGTTGATAGGATCGTAAATTGGTGCAAGTCCGCGAAGTTAGAAAGACGTCCCACTGAAAGCACCCGTTAAATAACCTAACCTAACTATCTGACCAGGGATTGTTCTACATGCTACCTTCAAGACACTTACCTCGATTAGATCAGGTCCGGGTGCTGTATTATTTTTAAAACTTTTAACTACCTCGACCACTTCTCGCTCCGTGAAGATAGGAGCGTCGGCCGTATTTGGCGCAACTTGCGCGTTTTCCCTGACTTTACTTTGACTATCTGTATCCTCATTCTTCCGGTCATTTGAGACGTGGACATTCAGAAGGTAGCTGGCTGTCTCTTCTACGGTGTTGGTAGAGTATTCGCTTTGCCGGAGGGTGTTGACCACCCTCTCAACCCGGAATTTTTCAGCTTCTTGCTTATAAACGTAGCTCCAAGCCTCCGAGTTGCCGTGCCACGTGACGAATTTTCGCCAACTTGCGAGCTTTGCCTTTCTCACCTCCCTTCTGTAATACCGCTAAGATACGCGGTACTCCTGGCAAAGAGTGAGGTAATTGGGCTCCCCTCGCCCTACCTGGGTGGCACGTCTTAACCTATATACTGACTTTTTGATGACAGGCAGTTCTCTATACCACCACGGGTTGGATTTTCTAAACCTTCGTTTCCTTGGCATAGAAGACTTACAGGCCTCTTGGAGCACCACCGTAAGTTCCTGCGCCATCAATTCTACTTCCTCCGCAGACTGCAGACCGAGGACCTCGAGCTGCGACCTGAATAGATCGCGCAGGTTCTCGGCGAACCGATCCCAATCGGCCCGACGTGTGTCGAAACGATTGGTCTCGGCCCCCCGGTCATTGCCCGTTACTTTCGGCACCCTCACCCTGACGTCCACGGAGTTGTGGTCGCTGCTCGTCCAGTTGTGCCTCACTTTCCACTCGCCGATAAATTGGCTCATGGTAGGGGACGAGAGAGTAACATCTATATAAGACGATCCTCCCGCCGTCCAGTAGGTGGGTTGCTGAGCAGCGTCGTTCAGAATCTGGAAGCCAAATGCTTGGATGAGGTCCTCGAGTTTAGCACCTCTTTTGTCTGTCCTCTGTGGGCCCCAGAGAGACGACCGCGCATTGGCATCTAACGCAACTAACATTCTCTTCCCCCTTAGTGAATGACACATCATTTTGAGAAGTAGATAAGGACAGTGGGAATCTCGTTAATCCATTCATGCGCGTCACTAATTAGATGACGAGGCATTTGGCTATTTTTTTTTTTTCCAATTGTATTCTACTTTCATAGTTTACAACATTATATCTTGAAGATAGTATATGGGTTTAATCGGCCATCAGATTGATCCCAGCGTCCATCCAGTGTGACCCGCTGCTACCCCCCCCCCCCCACAGCTGTTGTCTTGTTGAATTGGTGGAATGCTGTAAGACCTCCTATGATTACTCTGGAAGACAGTACTTTAAATGCACCAGGTCGAATGACACCCAACTCTAGCAGTTCCTTTGTCAAGACTTGGCTCCAAATTCCCTTCCATGACAGCGTGACGGACGTAAACTTGACGGCGGTGACCGCGTATTTTTGCCGCAGCTCCGCCTCAATGTCCTTATATATTGCACTCTTCCTTTGGTGGGCACTGTCTAAGTCGATCGGATCATTGACGACTTGTGCGTCAATGAGCAGTGCCGTTTGGCCTAATTTAGCTATTATATCCGGCTTCCTAAGCTCAGTCGCTGTTCTGATTTGGGGCTCTATTTCCACAAGGTATTCTTGTTTACGTAGATCTTGGATCACATATGCCGTCACTGCATTGTGTCTTTTAATCCTTGGTCCATGTGTTTTGTGACACTTTTGCAACACATGATCAAGAGTCTCCGGCCATCTGCAACCTGCACGACACAGCCTATCACACGGTCGCCCTCTTGTTGTTCTAGACTTGGTTGGCAGCGCATTAATCCTGAGTTTACAGGACTGCAAGAAGTCCCGTCCTGAGAGGAATCGTGTACCTTCTTTGATTCAGGCGTTTTGTTGCGGTACCTTACTGGACTCCTTAAGCCCACCACCGTCAACGCGGGCGTATAGTTGCTCCGCCCATCTTTTAGCAACATCACGAGCTGTGGCGAGCTCAGCACCATCATCCGCAAGTCTCCTCTTACACAACGCAATTTCATTGCTCAAGAATGAGCCAGGGACACCACTGGCTTGTTGTTGCGCCAAAGGCAAGCTTTTCAGTCGGTTGAGCCTTCTAAGTGGAGCACTCCATCTCACAGCTTCAATTCCAAGTCCACCATCTCTGACACCAGCGTGTACGTATGCATTCGGTGAATCAGTAGGCAGACTCAACCATTTTCTCACAGCACATTGTACGAGGCTGTCACATTTCCTTAATAGGCTAATGGACGTATTGCTTAATTCCAGTTGGTGAAAAATACCTGGAATTACCATTGTTCTCAGCGCAAATAGATGTTGCTGTGGTTTTAAGGCGGCTCTCGTTAGCCTTGTTATGGCTTCCTGAAGCTTGTGCGTGACCTTGACCATCGCCCTCTCTTCCGGGGTGAAGGGAATTCCCAGATACCGCTAATCATCCGTGCGCTTTAGAGCTGGAAGCATACGTTTTTGACATAAAAAGATAGTGTTTTTGTCAATTATTGTCTTCTTTTCATGAGGCACATTTCTGATGGCCACTGTAAGGCATTTCGAAGCATTAACACGTAGTCCACACCTCGACATAAACTCCACAGACCGATCGAGCAACACCTGAAGTCCCACTGATGTAGATGCACATAACACCATATCGTCTGCAAAGGCTGCAGCATTTATTGTGAGCTCTCCCATTCTCGCTCCAATATCCTCTGGGAGTTGTTTTAAGAGACGATCAATGATCATATTGAATATCATTGGGGACATCGAGTCATCCTGTTTGACACCGCAGGCTGGCTTAATATTTTCAGACTTCCATTCGTCACAGCAAAGTCTGATGGTACTTCTGCAGTAAGCATCCATAATGTATTGGACCATCGGCCGTGGGAGTCCCATTACATCCAGAGTTTCTTGGATTGTTTATGCGCCACAGAATCAAAGGCCTTGGCAATATCTAGGGAGGCCATGTACAGCGACTTGTGGCGCTTATAATGGTATCTAAGTACCAGATCGAGCAAGAATATATTATCTGAGCATCCATCTGTTGGCCTGAATGCTCTCTGTCGCTGGCCCAGCCGAATATGCTCTACCATACGCGTCACAAGAATCCTGTGAAGGGTTCTAATAAAGACCGAAGAGATTGTAATTAGTGGTGAGAAACTATCAACTTTTTCAACTATTGATATATCGATGGTATTAACAAAAGACTATCGATAGTATTGATACTATCGATGGTTATCTATACTATCAATGGTTTTTCTGCTCAATTTTCACTTTAAAATTTTAATAATCAATGAAAGGCATATGTGATGTTTTTCAAAAGAAACTTGTTTATTTAATCGGAAATAAGTAATTTTACAGATTTACTTACTATTTAAAAGCCATTTGTTTTGTTTTAAAAAATTAATGTATTCACATTTTTTGACTTTAGTCTTGATCTTTTTTTGGAAAGAATTTCTCCTGCTTTTGAAAATATTCTTTCAGCTGAAACGGAGGTGGCCGAAATAGTCAAATATTTGAAAGCTACTTTTGCCAGAGGTTGCAAATTGTCTTTACATGACAACCAAAATTTTATAGGATCTTCGTTTTCAGGTTTCAGTCTATCTTTGATATAATTATTTACTATTGTTATAGCAGCTGCTGTATTACTATTTGTTATATTTTTGTCTCTCTCTTATAAATATTTGAAAATTCCTTTAGGCTCTAATGAAACAATTTATAATAGTTAATAATCAAAAATAAACTTATATTAAATTTTAATAAATTATTTATTACCTTCTCTTTCTGAAACTTCGGAATCTGTAGTTAGTCTGATTTCATTTTTATCTTTATGAATTATTTTTTTCACCTCATCTTCTGTTAGATCTTGAGCAGTTTTGGCATTAGTGGTGGAAAGAAATGCGAGTTTCTTCAGTCTTGGGTCACAAAAAGTGCTAATTTGAGATTCCTGTCTTGCCTCGTATTTGAGCAATCTATTACTGAAAACACTTTGTAATGATTTGTCTAGCCCTTGAGCTATAGAAGATTTGAGAGTAGGTCTAAGTCGAGTTAATTCCATTTGTATTTCTACTGTTATTGGTATTAGTAATGATGCCGTAACATATTTATCTCCTACAACAATATGAAATAAATGAATTACCTAATTTTTTTTAAATATAAATATCAACATACCTGACATTTTTCCGTTATATCTTTGAATGGTTTCAAGATTGAAAGAGCCTCAGTTATCACGTCTTTCTCTTCTGGCATTAAAATGGATGGAACCTTAACAGATTTGCTAAGTGCTATGGTCAACGCATCTCCAATTTCAATAAGTCTTTCTAACATAATATAAGTGCTATTCCACCTTGTTTCTACGTCTTTTAAGATTTTTAGTGGCACTTTCCGACCGAGCGTAACTTGCTCATTATTTAAAATTTTCATGGCCTTGTTACTTCTTTTAAAAAAATGTAACAATGTCACTACATTTTTTAACGATTGCATCAAAATCTTTATTCTCTTTTATTGCATCTTTAACTACTAAGTTCAGAGTGTGCATAGCACGGGAGATTTCTTATTTGTAAGATAGTACAAGCTGCTTTCACATCACTTCCATTATCAGTAGTAATGCACACTATTTTATTTTTAGTTATCGTCCAGTAATCTAGAAACACAACAATTTGAATTAAAATGGTTTTTGTCAATGTAATATAAATTATGATTTTTACCTCAATGTGATAAGCAATATCCTTAGCAGTATGTTGGCCCATCATTACAGATGTATCAAGAACGCAAGATTTCAATTCATTTTCGTATAAAAAGTGGCAAGTTAGGTAATGAGTCGTAATGTACGACTCTGAATTTATTGAGGTCCATAAATTAGTTGTCAAAGATAACCAATCAACATTAAGCAGAATATTTTTCAATTTAGTGGACGCTTCTTCAAAAATCCCAGGAATAATTTTTTCAGTAAAAGTTTTCTTACATGGTACCTTATATCGTGCGTCTAATTCATGCATTAAACTTAAAAAACCACTATCTTCTACAAACGAGTAGGGCTGCAGATCAATTGTAATCATCAAAGCAATTTTTTTTATCCAGTATCATTTTTTTATGATTATTATTTTTGTAAAAATCTGAGGGCTGTCTCAGTTGTAGAACAGTTTGGCGGAATTTCTTTTTTTTCGGAGATGAAGTTCAAGGTAAATTGTCGTCATTCTCATTTTCTATCTCCTCCTCCTTTAACTGAGAAACTTCTTTACTGTGCATGCGTTTGAGATGATCAATCATGTTTGAGGTGTTGCCGCTCGTTGAGTATTCTTTCCTGCATAAAGTGCAACTTGCAAAATAATTTGAATTTTTTTCAAAATAATTCCAAACAAAAGAGGAACCTTTGCCCTTCAACCTTATGCTCATGCTCGATTTTATAATGGAATGGACAAAACAAATATAATAAAGCTGTAAAAAATAGAAGTAATAGTATTGATATTATATTTGGTTATCATGCTCTCTTTCAATTCATCAAACATCAAACCCATGACCTGCCATGGCCATCATCACCAACAACAACACTGAACATATGAACACAATAGTGCAAATGCAAATAATGCCATAGCATAGCTAGGTTAGATTTTTTAAACAGGAAATATTAGAAAATATCACTTACCTATAATCCTATATAATATATCTCATTAAAATAATCACACGTAAAATGACACATGACACAACAAAACATGTATGCAAATTGTAGACATCCAGCTCCCAGTTGCCAACTGTTTTTTTGCCTGGGCTCTGGGCTCTGGGCTCTGGGCATGGGCACTGCGATAGTTCGATAGTCGTCCTACCGACTATTGATAATTCGATAATGGCAATCACTATTGATTAATCGATAGTACTATCGATAGTTTTCCACCACTAATTGTAATTGGTCTAAAATCACCTGGTTCCTTCACTCCAGATTTTTTTGGAATCAAGACTGTCATCGATTCCAACAATTGCGTGGGCGCCTGCTCGCACCACAGTATCAGATTCAAAATGCGACAAAGGACTCCATCTGAAACCTTTTTAAGCAATCTCGCCGATAATCCATCTGGTCTGGCTGATGTTGTACTTGCTAGTTTTGCCTGCCGAATCTCACCTAGAGATATTGGCGACCACAAATCCTTAATAGTTTACGCTCAGTAACGTCCGGCGAGGTATCCTCGTTCGTCGTCATTATGGTTTTCCAAAAAGGAACCATGATATTCTGTGAGGGAGCCTTCATCCCAGTAACATCCTCCAGCAATATCCGGATGCACTTGCACCTATTTTTGCGCCACAGATCTTGCGTACGCGCATACTCCACTCTTCAAGCCTGCTTTTTGGTGATATTGGCTGTCTCTCTCACCGAGCCGCTCCTGACGCTGCGTGGTTTTGCGGGAAAAACCGCCTTTAAATATAGTGCGAGCCCCTCAAGAACCTCTGCACTTGATTTTTGTGCAAGAGCGTTACACAGCCCGATCAGAAGGGGCGCTTCAAAATCGTCGCTTCGCAGTGCCGGAAGTGATCTTATATACTCGGCTATGGCTGCTTTATAGCCGGACTCATCTTCATTCGCTTGGGTGTCTACGGGAGTCCCAACGTCATCACTCTCACTAGACAAATCCTCTAGGTAATCCAGCACAAGCTGTATATATTCGGGCTGTTTCCGTTTGCCCTTGATAGCTTCCAGGGTTCTGCCAGGAAAAACCTGCAGCAACGCCTGGTTCATGAATTTGGTGTTCCGGAGCGCAAGCTCAGCCTCCTTTTTAGCCAGTAGTCTAGATTCCTCTTCCGTCCACCGGCCCCTGACTTGAATGGTGTTCTGTTGCTGCTCGTACCAGTCAGGATGTGCCCGCCGATGATGGAGGCCTCTTCCAGTCTTTGTCTCAAATGATCGACAACAACCCGAAAACTCACAGCTAAAGCCAGCCAGAACAGAGACAGTGTCAGACCGTCCTGCCAATCGACGCCCATCTGCTGGACTCCTGGAGCCAGAGGGCTCAGGGTTTTGATTAATTTGCATCCGAGACTTGTTTTTTTTATTTGGGCCAGCAGTAAAAGGCCAGAGGGGTTGGCAGCCCCAAAGATCTGGGTTGTCGTGCAGCCATTTAGCCGTCACTGGACGTGACGTTACCGACAAAACCACGAGGAGGTAGGCTGACGACTGGACAAGGAGAGGCTATGTATGGCGCATCACCTGCCCTGTAACTAGAACCTTCTTTTTTTCCCGACCGGAAGGAACGAAGGACAGAACAGAGCACTTTTTCCCTTGAAAAAGAAGCCCCATCTCCCTAGCCTTATCTTCGACCACTCGCAAACAGGTCTAGAGGCCCCACTTGGTGGCAGCAAATAGGAGAACATCGTCAGCATACGCTATGCTGTTGATACGATGTTCTCCAAGCTGGTATCGGCAGGTATGGCTCGCATGACCACGTCTATCACCAGGCAAAAGAGCACTGGCGATAGCGGGTCCCCCTGCCTGACGCCTCTGCCGATACCAGAAAGCTCGGACCTGACACCGCGCACTTCAAACCTCGTGCTGCTTCGGGCGTAACTATTCCTGATGTAGTCAATCAAGCCATGAGGCAGATCCAGGCCAGCCAAGGCGTTGGTGATAGCGCCATGGCTGACGCTATCAAAGGCCTTCGAAAAATCCAGAGATGCGACGTGCATTTCTCAACGACGGGACCTGGCATCCATTAACAAGGATGCCAGTACAGCGACATTTTCGCCGCAACCGTCGTCGAAGCACCGCTGTCGAAGATCGACAACCCTGGACTCGCAAAGCCTCTGGGCCAGGATCTTATGGAGATGCCTCACGGCTACGGAGGTTATCGAGATCGGACGGAAATCACCCGGCCGAGAGCATTCGCCCTTTTTTGGGATGAAAGCCGGGTTCCGACTCACCAGCAAATTTGCTGGAAAACCTTTGCAATGCAGCACAATGTTGAAAAGGAGAGCCTTAATGGAAGAAGGCATGGCTCTCCATGGACGCACACTAATGCCGTCCAATCCGGGGGCCGAGTTGAGGGGCAGGTTGACAGCTGCCACCTCTTCACAGGAGATCGGGAACCAGGTGTCCAGCAGCTCACGCTTGGGTGGAAGTTGCGGGACTGCTGCCACAGGCGTCGAGGCCTGCGCGACAAACGGGCCCCAGTGCGCAGTCATCCGCTGCACATCTGGGACGACGTCCGCCTCGGGGGCACCGTCCAAGATCTTCTTGGCCGCGCGCGACATATGCGAGCGGAAAAGGCGCTGTACGCACGCGTACTCCGCTCGCCGTCGCGCTTTTCTCGCCGGATTGACAACTGTGTGTCTAGGCGGTTGCACATAAGGAGTTGTCGGAGGATAAACGCTAGCCAGCCACGGACCAACGGACTTGATATTCCGCCTGCCATCCAGTATTCTCGATCCAATTAGGACCAGGAGGTTGGAATTCCAACCCGGGATGGCCTCCACGACCGGGATGAGAGCGCGTATAGCGCCGGCAAAACTGCCGTACATTTCACCCCAGCCGGGAGAGGGCGGTGATGGCGGAGGCGAGCCCGGAGAACCGTGACTGGAGATGGCTTGAGGAGAAGCAGAAGGACTGGAGCCGCCACCGGAGAGAAACGAACTCTCCCCAGACGTGGCGGACAGATCCTCCAGCGCCGCAGCAACGAGGCGCCGGTACTCGCCGTTCTTCCGCATTTCCTTGAAGGCATCAAGAGTGCGGCATGGGATAACGGCGAGTAGGTGTTGGTTAATAAACCGGACACCCCGATGCACGGCAAGGGCCTCCTCTCTCGCCATCATGCGCTGTTCTTCGGCGCTCCATTGGCGCTTTACCCTTTCGACATTGACCTCCTCATTAAAGATGGCTTCGTGGACTCGGCGGCGATGTAAGCCGAGCCCTGACTTGGTGCTAAACACACGGTCACAATCCGGTCATGGATACTGTTCGGGAAAAAGGGCAGGGGCAGCAGGGGGCAGTTGGGGCTGAGCCGCAGCTGGTGGCCGGCGGAAACGGCTTGGAGCGGGCTCAGGCAAGGGGGACGATGATGCGGCAGGACTGGCGGCCCGAGGCTGCCGCCGGAGATTATATTTTCTTTTCGGAGTCGTGCCTGCCGTGTACAGACCCGAGGGGCTGGCAACCCCACGGTCCCGGGTGGTACGCACGCGTACCACCAAGCCAGAGCC